TCCAGTTTTCGGCTAGTCGACTAGACTTAGTTGATTAATAACAATACCCCTAATTATAGTTTCCCTGGAAATTTAATTCTAATTATAAGTAAAATAAAATTTATCGCATCCAAAATTAGACTACAAATTATGCATGAATTAAAAAACAAGCTAATTTCTTTCAAAATTGATACAACTACTAGATATAATAGATGAATATTAGGTATAAATGTTCAATATATAAAAGATGACCATATAGAAGTGCGAACACAAGGAATGATAGAACTAATAAAAATTCATACATCGATTGCTATCTACTATATCTGATATGATCATTATTTTTGGAGCTATGATGATTTATTATAAAAAAGTTAACCCTGGTCTCTCCTACTATCTATAAGGTCAATCATTCATACTCAATATAGAGAATTAAATTTAAAATAAAAATAGCATGTGTGCCAATAAACATTAATAGATTTAGTAAAACAAAACCTAATATAAAGATGACAAGCTTCCTTTGCCGAATGGCCTTTGCATTTTAATAGAGAAAAGAAGCAACAGTGAATTAATTGAAACAAAATGTTAGTATATTTTCCAAATATATTGTGTAATTATTTATAATATATTTCAGGACATTTATTTTTGATAATTAAGAGTTTTTGTAGATAACTTAAGAATGTAAAACAAAATTTCTAAACTAGGATCTATGAATCAAATAATGTTTCAAATGAATGGGAAAAAAGTATTGTTGTATATTTTATCTGTGATAATCAAAATATTGGTTTACTATCTTCGTTTTTATATTATGAGTTTCTGCTTGAAAACCCTGTATATTTATTAGAATATATAAATCCCCTTTCCCCTCCAAAAAAAATAATATTGTGAGTGTATTTTAAAACTTTATTTTCTATTTTTCCTACTTTAAAGAATTCTTTTGGTTCAGATTAGTGTTGTTCGCTTAATCTTAAAAATAACATGCTACCCCTATCACCACTATGCAGGCGCGTACGCAGGAGTTTGGTCTGGGGGGGGGGGATAATAAATTTTTTTAAGAAATATCATTGAGCATAAATTTATTAGGACTAATAACTTTTCTAATACACAATTTTAAATTAATGTGAATTATAAAAAATTATATATATAAACCGGCATATAAAAAACTATAAAATAAAATTAAAAAATATTAAACGGATATAACTGGCGGCATTGAAAAACTATAAAATAAATGTGAATTATAAAATATAAAATGAATATAACCACCATATGAATCACTTAAATGACCCAAAATAGAAATTTAAATTTTTTGAGCCTTTAAAATTTATATATAAGGTATAAAAGATTTAAATTTTGGAAATATAAATAAATACACTAAAAGTTTCTTAGGAATAATTGTATTTTGTATGTAAAATATTTACAATGAAAAATCCAATCTTCGTTGGGATTGTGCTAATTTTTTAATTATCTCATCCTTACGGCGTTAAATGCCTATGAATATTCAAAAGATCAAAACCATTCAATCTACTTTCATAAGTTGTACTTCTTAGGTATGTTTTATTTTTTAAAAAATACTCGGGCCGGGCCCGAATTTTTTTTTAAAAAAACACACGGGCTGGGCCTGAAAATTTTTTTTACAAAAATATCCGGGCCGGGCTGTATATTTTAAAACCAAATATTTGAAATCGCCATTATTAGCTATAAAAGTAAAAAATAAATATAATTTATTTTAAAAAAATTCGGGTCGGGCCTGAAAATTTATTTTTAAAAAAAATCCGGGCCGTGCCCTGCAAATGGTACTTCTGTAGGACTCTGTTATTCTTCTTAACAAAGAAAATGTTCTCTCATTAGTTTACATGGGAAGAGTTGCTAATATATATAACCATTTTAATACATTGGGAATATAATCTAAAATGTGTTTGAAATAATGCAAAGCATTTTTTAGGACTATATCAACCATAGTTAATCTTTTAATCATAGTTATTCAGCTAATAAGGTATCATAAGATATTTTAACATCTTCATGATAAAAATCTTACAAATATTTATTTTTTTCTATCACCATCTAAAAAAGGTTGGGAAGGCTTTTGTGGAAGTAATATATGCAGATTGGTAAGTGCTACATGATGAATTAAAAACCATTCATTTATTTGGGTTATAAATACATCTAAGAGAAAGGACATTTGTACTCTTCTACTGATCCTATATTAATGTTTTGACGATGAGCTTGCCTTAAATAGAGGGAGACAAATATTAAACACGTATAGCTTTGCTTTTGACTCAACAATAACATAAAATATGAAATTCTTCATCAACATTAGCTCTAATTTCCTTGAGTTCTAATAAAATGCTTTCCGCTATTCTCATCTTCTTAATCAAGCCAATGTCATGTTTTTGAAAAGTATTACATAAAATAGTTGTATAATTAAATAATACATTCTAATGAGAAAAAAAATTTGGGATAAGTAATGAATCCAATAATTTTCTTGCTTCTTAGGAAATATTTCTTTCAAGCCATTATGATATATCAGTAAAATAATTAATAATCGGCTCTTCTAACTCCATAAAAGCTGTTACTGCTTGATGGCGGAGACTCGATCTCGTTGGACAAGTTTGCATTTCTTCCTCCCTGGACAAGGAGTTTCAGAGATAATTATTATTTGACTAGAAATTTAGATAAATATTACGATACTAGAAATTTGAAAATAATAGGTAAATATTATGCCTAGGAAAACTTAAAATCGAAATTGATAAAATAACTTAGTAGATGAATGTGATAAATAAATGTAATTAAATATATATATGAGATAGGAATTAATATTAACAAATATAGATTAATATAAACAAATATTTTTGAAAAATATAATCCGGCATCTGCATTTTTTGGCTTTGGGGGGGGGGGGGGATTTGTTCCCCTGACCTCCTCCCCCTGCGTACGAGCCTGCCACTATGCCAAAAAGCTACCATTTTTAAATAAGGCTTTAAAAATTAAACTCTTTTGTATAATCATAGGCAAAAGATTTCATTTCATATCTAATTTCCCAATATTACAGGAAAGGAGATAGTATTTTATAATATTTATCTGTCATATTTTCAATAGGAAAAGGGTAGAATTTATTTCTTTAGATTTAATATTATAATTTTCTTAGAAAACCTGTTTACTTTTTAAATATGAATAATTTTCTATTCCAGCAATTTTATTAAATTTTCCCCTTTTATCAATTTTAATAAAAATTTTATCTCTTATGAAATTATCCTTTGTTATGGAATAGAAGTGTCCAGTTTATGAATTTTAAATAAACTTTTATATTATTTATATGAAAAAGTACAGCAAGTTTGGGAATTATTTACCTTTTGAAATTTATAGAAATAAAAGGTTCATTTAATGTCATTCATTTTAGTCATAATAATTTAAACAATTATAGCCATTGCAATGCATTTATCACATCAGCTTAATATTATTATATTATTTTTTTAGCTTTCTTCAATATATTAGTTAAATTTGAGAGAATTTCTAAGGCTAAATTTCTTTTTTGGATCTAATTCTGATTTATGTACTCTGATTTTGTAACAAAGCTAAATACTTTATATTTAACTACTAAAAGAAAGTTGATTCAAATTTTATAAAAATTTATATTATTAATGGAACAAGCAGTATGAATGATTATATTATATAGCAAAAATTGAAGAAAAGTGTCCAACAATTAAATATTTTTTAGACTATGGAACAGAGGAGGGGAAAATGCTATATTTCATTTTAGAGATGAATTTTTTGCCAATTCAATAGAATGAAAAATATTTTAAAATATTTACCTGCTCATCAGGCTTTTTATTTACTGAAAAATTTCCTATTCATTATAAAAATTTTACATGCCTTTCATTCATCTACAATTTTCACATCCCCTGAAGTATTATTGGACCTCGAAGTCCACTTAAAAAATACTCTTGAATCCATTTTAAATATCAAATTTCATCATTCTCCTGGATGCAAGCTGCCCTTCCACAAAAGCTAGGTGGTATAGATATACAATCCCATATATCCCTAAGCATTTCAGATTGTGTGGATTACTTACACTTCAAAGCTGTTCAAAAAAAATCTCCATTGCTCTTTCTCCACCTAAACCCTAACCCAATTATACATAATGACAATAATATGACCCTTCCGTCAGATCCAATATTTCCAAGATCACGCATATGCCACCTTGGATATGAATGGCTAGAAACAGTACCTAGTACTAATCTAGGCTTGTTATAACCAATGAAGAACTCAGAATAGCCATAGGTCTTCACTTAGGATGTGAAATCGTAACACCTACATCATGTGTCCTATGTGAAACCCATATTGATAGTCTTGGACACCACCCCTACATTGTCGTTTCTCAAAAGGCAGATTACCCAGACACCATGATATCAATTCAATCATCAACAGAACCTTGAAATCCTCAAATATTCCCTCTACCCTGGAACCATTCAGTTTCAGCCCCAACAATCAAACCAGACCAGATGGTATGATGCTAGTCTCTTGGAACCAAGGCCCACCTCTTGCTTGGGATTATACTTGTGTGGATCGTTTTGCCAGATCTTTTTCCTCCAACTCTATCATGAAAGCCGAAAACATAAAAACAAACAAATATAGCAACCTTAATAATGTTTTGTTTGTTCCGGTAGTCTCAGACCCATATGGATCATTTGGACCCCAAGTTCTAAAATTATTCAAAACAATAGGGCAAATGTTATGTTTAATCACAGGTGATCCAAAAGAAGGTTTCTACCTTCGACAGAGAATATCAACTAAAATCTGTCATTCTAACTGCATATCCATACATGGGTCATTAAGCCCCATCAATACCTTTAAATTATATTTTTTTATTTCCCTTCTTTTAATTATATATTTTTATATAGATTATAGATATAGTATTTTTTATAAATTATGATCATTTATAGTCAGAATAATTTATATTTTCAACATTTAATATATTATAAATTAATATATAATTATTTTTATAAACTTGTGATTAATAAAGGCCTGCAATTTATAGTACTGTATATTTTTAAAATTTGTAATTATATATTTATCACATAATATGCAACAATAAAAAAAAATTAAATAAATTATTATAATACATACCTACTTCCCTTATAGCCCTTTTTCAGTTTAAAATTATGGGCCAAAATTCATAATATATATATAAATAGCAAATAATGAGGTATTGCATGATCTAAAATACTCTTTTTAAATATAAATACATGATTGCCATTATTATAATTTTTGTATTTATCTATAGATGTGGGGATGAGGTTTCATGAGCTGATAATATCCCATTACTATTTTTAAATATTTAAAAATTTTAAAATCAATAAATTATACTCTTTTAAAAATTGTTCCAAATCATTAAACCCAAAATTTATTTTTAAATTATCTTGTAGCCTTACATAATTCCCAATTAATTCACCATGTTTATATACTAATAGTGCTGGTACACCTTTAATGGACTATTTTTAAAAACTATTTTAGCAAAATTAAAATATAGCTTACAAAATTTTTACTAATACCAGGTACATTCGAATTTGCACAACAAAATTTTATATATGGATATGCTCTAGCAAATGAATCCATTAAAGAGTTAATATATTGACATAAAACATTATGCTGTAATAAAAATATATATATTATATTAAATAGCAAATAACCTCATTGTAGATAAAAATTATAACAGTTACATTAGGATTCTCTTTATCAATTACCTCAAGATATCTATTTCCTGAATCAATATTTATGACATGTCCAAATTTTGGTCTAAATATTTTTAAGTGCATAAAGTTTATTCAAAAATATACAAGTTAGAAATTGTAGCTAATAGTTCTTTCATTTTTTTTTGCTTATATTGTTCAAAAAATTGTTTGTCATCCGCATCCATATCTTCTTCAACATTTTTTTCAATATCTCGCATTTTTAATTTCAATGTGTCTTCATCATTCTACAAATTTATATTATAGGATGTATTATATATAATTACAGAAGATAAACACGAAAAGGCAGATGTAACCAAGTTATCTGAAAATTCTTTTTCCTTTTTATCTTTTAATTCTTGTTTGTATTTCGTAAAATCTTTAAAATCTTCAATAACCCCTTTGGGTCCAGTCTAAATAATATATTAAATTTAATTAATTAGCTTTTTACTTGTTGACTATTTCCTGAATATTCATAAGTTTTCATTAATTGTTCATTTCTATTGATAGGTATTTCATTTCTATCGGGCAAGGAATCCTCGTCACTTGAGCTACAATAATTTTCGATTTTATATCCCAAAATTTTATCTTCAATATTTGTCATAATTTTAAATAGTAATATGGATGAATGATAGATTTGAAAAAAATATATATTTTATTAAAAAGATGACTAAATCTTACCTCGATCAATAAATATTCATACTAAAAAAATATTGAATCAATAAAGACATTATCCATTTGTTAGAACTGGAGGTATCAACAAATTAGTTAGACACTTTTATTTTCGTTGTAGACGTGAGCAGGTTAGATTTAATGTTAATTTAATTAAATTATATACTTCAGTTCAGGTAATTTTATTAACTAAGTTGGTCTAAACTATGCTTATATTTTATGATATTATGATATTTCTTATATTAAATCGTAATTTTACCATGAGATATTATTTTTATATTATGTTTCCTAAATAAAATTTTAGCTTTATTATATAATATTATTTTATGATATTAATTTTAAAAAAAATCATAAAATTAGTATGAGTTTACAAAATATAAGATAAAAGGCCATTTAATAATTACAAATAAATAATTGAATTATAATTTTTATCTTAATTTTAAAGGTATAGAATTAGTATGGGATCTATATCCATGCTTTCGAGCAAGGCTGTTAAAGTAACATGCTACCTACATTATCTAAATAGTGATTAGTAGCGACGCTACTTTTATAAAAATGTAGCGAATTCATCCTACATATCTTCACCTCTTTTTTGCTACGATATTCTCTTTTTTGAAAATTTCTTGAACCGGCTCTGACTTTTTAATTATTTTTCAGCCCGGTTCAGATTTTTTAAAATTAGGTTATTTAGAATAATTTTGATTTTATTTTACACTGTTTTAAAGCATTTTTTTAAGTAAAGGTTTTCAAGTCCGGTACGGATTATTATTATTTCTACAGTTTCTATACTAAGATTGGAATTTTGGGCCTTCAGGTCTCTGATAAATATCTATAAAATTAATTTTTTTCATTGAGATAGGATTAAATAATATTTTATTTAGAATTTTAAAATAATGGTATCATTTCAATTCGATGAGGACAATTGAGTGCACGACAATTTAACATAAAAAGCTTGACGCGGCAACAATTAGGTGCAGATCTAATTAAGCTGCGATTTGTTTAAAAATCATAATTTTATTAATATAAAAACAAATTGCTTTTATATCGTATTTGGAGAATTAAGAGGCGTGTGGATATTAACGTTGGTCCTATTAATTCAATCCCAAACATAAAATACTCTGGATAAAAAGACACTAGATAAATATATCCTGAACAAAAAGACACCGTACAAATCCGTAGACAACAATTCCGAAAATTCTAAAAGAAAAGATGTAAAGATTTAAAAAAATTATTAATTTTTTCAACACATATGTTTCATTCTTCATTATAAAAATATATTTAACTAATGATAATGTGCATCCGCTGTGCAAGACAAAATTTTATAAACAATGCATATATGCAGATTTCTAGGGAAATGTTGAGATATTGGCTAAATGTATGCTACGCGTTCATGGCTATGTCTGACGACCCTCCCTTCACAGGTCTCTAAGAAAAGTTGAGATTTTAGAAGGCGTTAAGTTTAGACATTTTAAGTGGCCCACCCTATATTATGACTTTTATCAAAGTAATAAATAGAAATATCTTATATAAACTAACCTTGGTGGATAAACCAGGCCTTAGCCAGTAGGGAGCCGGGGAGCATGCGAGCTCTAAAAGGTAAATGCCAATAAAATTATAACTACATAATAATATTGAAAAAATAATATCTCTATTACATTAATACTTTTATGTTGTACACAAAAATAATTGTTTTTAAAGATTATACTTTTCTAACAGTATTATTTTTCCGAAAAAAAAATTCGGTAAAGAATTAGCTAAGAGCTTTCCCACAAGCTTTTGAACTGTAAAATATTCATTATTTTTAAATATAAAAATTATATTTATTAATTACTTTGTTAATAAAAATAAGCCATAATGAAAAATAATTGTAAAAAATTTAGCATAATAGACTGGAATAAAAGAATTGAAGGTTAATAATGCGGGTGAGATATTTGATAGTATTTCATTAAATATTAGTGCTTGAATTGATGAAAGTTTTAAACTTTATCATTTAGATTTATAAATAAAGCTTTTAAAATCTTAATAAATGAAATTTAGGGAAGTTTAACCCCTATTCTGAAAAACAATTTTAAGAATCATAAAATATGAAATAACCTGATTCTGAATGATATTTATAAAGTTAGTGGGCTAGGGCATGGTTGGTCATATGACAGTTAGTACTTATTTATTTATTTTATATTTTAAATAAGACAAATGATAATAATTTTCAATGAATGTTTATCAATCTAAAATATTAATTTATAATATAATATACTTTAAATAAAAATTTATTTTAATTTATTTTTAGAAAAATATCTAAAATTTCTTAAAATCTCTAATTCCAATTAATAATTGCAATTATGATATTATCAATAAATAAATATATACTTTAAAGCCTCTAATATTATAACAATATCAAAAAAATATTATATATTTTGACCTCTATTTTATGTGTTCACCAATCATATCCAGAGTATGGCACGATTGGGCAAATTTTATTTTTTTCTAATTCAATTTTAAAAATAAGTAGAGTTTTATAAAATATATATTAATAATTTCGTATATACTAAAATGTTATTCAGATTAGTCTATATTAAATTTATTCAGGCTTAAGTGAAAAGAGTCCCAACCATTCCTGGTTTCCCCTGCTTATTATTTCATTAATTAATCAATTTTGATCTAGTTTTTTTATTAAATCACCAGTTGTTAGCCCCTGATTCTAATAAATTTTTAAATAACTCTCGGGCTTGTAGATAATTAATATAAAAACTCTTACGAACTGGTTCGAAATTACTTATAACTGGTAGGTTCTCTCTTTTTTAAATTTTATTGTTATGATTCATTTACTGTTCTGAAAATTTCAATGATTCATTATGGTTTCAAGATTGGGTTTAGTTTGACATCCTGCGCCAATGTCATTTATTGATAATGCATTATTCATTCCTATGATTAAAATTATCAGCTGTATAAAAAATATTATCGGCAGATAGTAATGACTAAAAAGTAATATTTTAATATTTTATAAATTAAGCCTAACATTACGAGTATGAATAACAAGCGAAATCACGGAATTGAATGAACAAGAAACGCAGAATTAATACCAAATAATAAATGACTTTATTCTTTAATTTTAAATATATATACACACAGACACACATTTGCATAACGATGATTAATGATTAATATAAATGGGAAAAATCCAATCGTAAATTATTATTATTTGTTGTCTACACAATGATCTAAGATATTTCTTGTTGCATAGGAAATTTTTTAAATTTATTATCCAAAAATTATTATTATTGATTGATAAATAATTGCAGTATAAGATATTTCTGCATTGCATTAAATTTTTTCAAATTTATTATCCAAAATTTTGTTGACGGCCGAGGTAGATTCCATGATTGAATTTCAGCTGAATCAAGAAATCTTTTCTTTAGCCTTGTGAAGACGTGGTAATGGTACTATAGGATGAATAGAGCTAAGTATATTCTCGTCATATTAACTATAAACTAGGTAGGGACAAAAAAAAATATTTTGAGCTGGCTATGGAAATAAGGAACTCTTTCAATATAAATGGCACATACAAAGCGTTTAAATTATTGAAATCGTTTGCCTTCTTCAAAAAAGAATAATATTTAGAATCCGGATGAGCAGATGAAAATTTGGACATCTCATTATACCAAATTTTAGTGAAAAAGAAATCTCTCCTATGTCACACAACATATCAACTGACTTCACACTACCGAATAAAGTGATTATAGATCCGGATGAGCATATGAAAATTTTGGGCATCTCATTATATCAAATTTTTCAGAGAAAAAGAAATCTCCCCTATGTCAAATAACATATCAACTGACTTCACACTACAGCCTTCTTCTTATTGTTCTACTCTGCACCCCCCCCCCCAACTCTATCAACTATCTTTTCTACCTCTAGTTTTGACCTTCCAAATTAGCACATCTATCTAGTATCGAGATCCCATACTCGTCATGAACTCAATTATCACCCACTACGCTCAGTGTAAATACAGATACTCGCTTCTATCAAAAGCAAAATAATAAATATAATAAAAAAAAATTAAAAAATCACAGGCTTGTGACCAAGATAATATACATAGTGAGTACTTGAAGACCGATTCAAAGTTGTGTGGAGATCTTCTTCCCAATTATTACCAAAGTTTAGCAAGGAGGGGCATGTTCATTTGATTGACTCACGGCTATTTGGATTAAATTTTCTAAAATAAAGAACCCAAAATATCTTGAAGACCGGTTAGGGGGGGGGGTGGATCTCATTAAATTTGGTAGTTTATAAAATATTCGTAAATATTATTCTAAACAGACTTAGACCGATAGTGGAACCTATTTTTGTTGAGGTATCGTTTAGGAAAGGGCATAACTCAATCAAAGCCATTCTCGTTAAAATTTCAAATCGAGAAAGCAATAATACGAAAAAGTTAATTGGTTATCATTGTAATTGATTTTAAGAAAGATTTATTCTATTCTTCATGCAAGTTTGTAGAGGCTTTGGAGAAAGTAGATACACCTACCCATTTGCTAAAATTATAAAAAATATCTATTAGAAGAACTACTCGTTCCAGCCAATTCACGCCGGTCGAAAATTCCCAAAAATTCCTGTACAAATTAGATTGAAGGAATACACTTTATCTCCTCTACTATTTAATTTTATTACGAATTATATTATAAAAAAGTTAAAATATTATGCTCGAAACGGTTGACCAATGGAAATCTAAATATTCTTGCGTTTGTTGATGACCTTTGTCTGATTGGAGAATCAATACCAGATTTTCAATTCCCAGTGGACAGCTTTATCGTAAAAGCTAAGCTGAATTTTTTGGTTTAGAAATAAATATTGATAAAACAAATATGATGACCTTATTCTTCATCCCACCACATTTGAAACCTAAAGATACAAGAGAGGACAGTTGCGGAAGTAAACCTAAAATATCTAGGAGTAATTCTAGATAGGAAAGGAACGACCAAACAAGATTTAATGGTTAAATTAAATAAAGCCAGAGCCAAATATAGATCCTTTATGAAGATATGGTCATCCAACCAAATATATATTCAGCTAAAGATCTGATTTTTTAAAATTCTAATACTTGCTTCCCTACATTATGGCATTTAAACATGGAACGATACAAATTGGATAATAAAAAGACATTGTTGCAATATACAGTTAAATTTGTTTCAGAGCAGATTATGCTTATTCAAATTTTTTGATATTAATTTTAAAGATAGCCTTTAATTTAACAGACAATGTAAATGAATATTTAAGAAAGGATATTTGGTTTATTATAAAAATAATTTTGGTTTATATAAATTTTTGAATAATATTATCAGACATAATTTATTATGTTATAATCGGATGATGATAATTTTATACAAAAGAAACAATTTTTATAATTGAAGAGACTTTAATTTTTTTTACTTTTACTTAATTTTTTCGCATATAATTTTAATTTTTTACTTTTACTTTTTCTAAATTAATTTTTTTTTTCATGTTTTCCCTTTATATTAATTTATTATATAATTTATAATTAATTATTAGTATTTAATAAAGGATTCAAAACTATAATTTTAGTATTTAAATATATTTTATTTTATTTTTTTAGGTTCCAACTTTTCTATATATGACAGACATAATCATTTATAAACAAATTTCTAAGATATATCACCAAAACTTTTTTCCCTTTGAATACAACAAACAATATGCTATGGGCCAGATGCGACATATTCCCTTTATTGAAGGCAAGAATATAGGAAAACTGAACTAGTAGGTCATATTCTTAGGCAAGCCCCAAACCTTATGTATCAAGCATTAATCAAAGTATCCCCGGAGGAATCATCCCACAAATCATTTCTAACATACAAAAATAGTTGGTTCGGCAGGATAGCCAGATCAATAGCGGAGATAGGCTTATTCTGGGAATTCATTAAGTGGGCTTCTGCAGATGGAAGAACCTTTAAAATTCGCTAATCTACGATCATCTGACGAATGACTGCTGAGTCGAGAGGTAATTATATATTTATTTTTAAGAAAAGATCTTTAAAGCTTTATTGACTGCTAGTCTTCTAAATTAATGATATCTAGTTTTAATGTTATCAATATTTTTGTTGTATATTATAATGATATTTTATTATCATCCGTAGTATAAAGATTAAAGTTCTTAATGACTAGTAAACCTATAGACCGAAATTAAGTAGATTAAGGGATATAAATTTGATTATTAGTTAGAAGTAGACTATGAGAACAAATGAAACATAAATAATTTTTCCGATTGCAAAGTGAAATTATAATATAACGTAAGAATAATCTATTACGCCATTATATGTCTTTTACTAATTGCAAAATACTTAATAAATACTTATGATTAATTTGACTAAATAAATAAATAGCTATTTGGAAGAAATAGTTTTTCTTGCCCTTTTTTCCCTCACACTCATAACTATACCTCACTATAATACTACAATTGGATAGTGGGTAATTCCACTCATTTTAATAACTATACACTGAGTTACAAGGTTTTTTGGCATCCTTGAGAAAAAAAATCGGTATAATTATATGCAGGGTGGGCCTCCATATAATTCACTTTAGCTCACTTTGGGCAGGTCTGTGACCATTGTGCTAGACAAGATAAGAATAGTTGCTTACGTTTGCCTTGCATAGAAAAAATATGAACATTTAAATTTTAATTTTGATAAAGAGGGTAATATAAGGTTAAAATTAAAAGTTAGAGATATAGGTTAGTGTTAAAATAAAAGACTTGATAGTAATAGGGTCAAAATTAAAAAAGTTTGAGTGATATAAGTTAGACTTAAAATTAAAAAATTAACGAGATTGGTTTAAAATTTAAATTAAACGGTTAGAAAGATATGAATTAGGGTTAACTTACATTAAAAATGGGTTTACTAAAATCTAGTCATGCTAACGAAACCCTGATTTGTAACATTGTATTTCGATATCTATTTAAACATTTTTTTCTATATAAGTGTAGATTAGATGATAATATTATTATTTTTTAATAAATAATACCAATGTATTTGAATATTATAGTTTTAACTCTCATTTACGTAGTCTGTCAATATTACATTAAAATAGAGTAGAAGTAGCGAAAGCTATTTTTTGAAATATGAACGCGTTATTTTTTTAAAAAAGTCGCTTAAATAATACTAATATATTAAAACCAAATTAGCTCACTTCATCCTTTAGAAATCTAAAATCAGAAAAATGTAAAAAATTAGGAATCTATCGAAAATAAAGTTTCGGTTTTTTAAATTAAAAAATATGAAGGAAACCTCAAGATTTTATTAAAATATTACTTTTACACAATATTTAAATTATAGTATAATAATAAAGGGTGCGATTCAATATTTATTGAACTATATAAACTTTGTTTGAATTTGGTACATATATTTTTCAAATGTGAAATCTAATCTAAGCCATATAACAACTGCTCTAGTTAAAAGCCCTATTAATTTTATTTCTTTATAGATCAATTTTATTACATGTAGTATACCTAGTATTTTTGAAAAAAAAATAGATGGGGATTACATCATTCCAATCAATATTCAAAAACTCAAATAATGAACTGCACTAATCAAACAGTGTAGATCCCACTCCAGCACACTATATATGAAAAAGATTATATAACAATAATATTCAATTATATGAATATTGATTATAACATTCAATTATAAAAATATTGATTAATAACATTCAATTACAAAAATATTGATTAACTAGTTTATTTTGTTCCCATAAATATTTTTTCAAAAATGACTATATAATTTCTAATAAATTAAATTTAAAATTTTGTAATAATATAGTGTGTTGAGCGAATTTTTTTTTGGTATATGTAGTCCTATAAAAGGATTTTTTTGGTATTATAAACTTTGACGAAACCCTATAATTGATTTCCTTTTCTTTGTTAAATTTGATAAACAGGGTATAATTCCCCTAGGGCGATAAATGTTTCTATAATTGATTATAGGCAAAGTGGACCTTTTTTTATTGTTTTTATCGAGTTGCTTAAAATAATCTTCATTAAAATTGTTAAATCTATTCCTGAACCTACTTCGAAAGCAACATATTTTGCGCATAAAAGTGATGAAATTTTGTTTGTAATGCTCGTTGAAGTAGAAGTAAACCAAAACGTTGGCCCAGGTAGATATCATAGCAAATAGGATACATAATTTTCTTAACCATCTAAATTTGCGGGAGTGAATAAAATGGGTTAAGGGAGTGAACTCCTCCATAAGTTTGATTATGTGCAATGGCAGCCAGGATGTGGCAAAAAGAATTATTATACCTAAAATCATAAGTACAGCCCGACGTTTCTGGATACTAGTACCTTGTCGGAACAGGGATATAGTGTTCGCTCGTTTACTTAGAATTTTATAGATATTAGAATGACAATTGGGGTATGTTCTTTGCAAGCGTTTATCGTGGATGGAATGAATTTTGTATTTGGCTTTCTCGTAGTCCACTTTTATCATCTTGGGAGTGTTTGAATTTGCCACTACTGGTTTAAAGGCGGGATTAAGATGAGGGAGGTATCTAAGTTGATTATAAACAGAATAACCGGAATTAGGTACGGAGGTAGAATTCTGCTGCATGTAATGTAAAGGCAAACTAATTTTGTGGTTTTTATCAGGGGGGGTGTTATCATTTTCGTTTAAATTGTTTGCACATTTTTTCTTAGGCGTTCCACAACCCTGGCCTCCACTGATACGTATTTTGATAGGTTCTTTTGGGTTTATATTATTTTCATTGCAACTTCCCTCTCTACGATGGGTGGAATCATCTGTAAGGGCGGCCATTATTTTGCCATACAAAATTCCGACCACTATCAAAGGCACTAAATAACCCACTATGACGTCTATCAAATATATCGGCCTCAATTCAGTTATACGAAATTGACAATTTTTAGGAATAACTTTCTTACGGGTTGGTAATATAAAGTTGCTTGTGGAACTGGAGGAAACTAATTTTGAACTTAATCTTTTGGCCAATCTTGAAATGATCGTAGTTATATCTTTGCTTATGTTTTGCATCAAAGTATCTTTTTCCAAACTAATGTTTTGTATATTATCACCTAAAAAATTATCCTTAAATATATCTTTAATCCATGCATGTCTTTTATATATTACGAATTTTTTGTTATTATTATTAATATAATAATTCAATCGATTCTTAGAAATATTTTCATGGTAAGATTGCGGAAATTGATTGTAACTTGTAATTTTGTGAGGGATTATAAAGGCATCCTCGAAAGATATGAATGAACTGTTGTAATGATAGGGCACCACTGTTTTATCAAGATACTGTGAGACCGAAGGTTGATAAAACCGTTGAAATAAAAACGTGGTTATTGAAATTCCGTATATGATAGAAGTTGACCATATAGTGAACACTGTCAAAATGGAATGCCTTATGGAAAATGGGGCCCTTTTAAAAGGATTTACGAGTGCTCTGTGCCTTTCAGCTGCTAGGGCGACCATAGTATATATGCTATTGATGCACGCTATTTCCGCGAGAACAAAGTTGAGAATGACGATTCTACATGATTTTAAGTTCCCAATGAACAAATTAACTGATGATGGGAATGGCGTGGGTCTTAACAAAGAAGTTAAGGCGAACAAGGGAGTAACTACTCCGGATAGAAGCAGATCGGATATTGATATGGAAAGTATATAGATGTTTATCGGTTTCCTTAACATTCTCTTATCGATGACACATATGAAAAGGACCAAAAAACAGTTTAAGGTCAAGCTTACAATAGAATTGAGGGAGAGCAATATTCCGAAGGTCATTTCCGATAAAATGAAATTCATTTGATAAACTGAACTGGGTTGATAGTTGATTGTCGATTCTATGTTCCAATTTCTAATTCTATGAGATATTGTAATTGCTACTTATTTGAAACTGAAAATTATAAAATATTATTTATTAAACAAGTCAATTAATATTTGTCGGTGATTTTAAACTTTTCTGCCTATTATAAAATAATTTATTACCATCAATGCTGCCTAAAAAGAAATAATTTTTATTTATTTAATTAAGAAGATTATCCAAATTATAATAAATAAATATAGAAACTTTATAATCTTGCTTGACATCAAAAATATATTGATATTATTTTGATAATTTATAATCTTTTTCAACAAATCCCCCCAAAATAAGGATTTATGTATTATTTAATTTTGTTGCAAAAATAAATTGGGTAAATCTCTCCGAGGAATTCGTACGAGTATTTAGAGCGGAAAAATTATATTATAAAGGGTTTAACCTTTCTATTAAGAAATCGATTGGATTATTTTATCATTTTCTATTGTTAATATAATTTTAAACGTTCTTTTTCCTAAAGTTCAAAAAAAATATAAATTGAAAACACGTTTGGAGATCCGAAACTCATGTAAGTGAGAAATAGCTTGGGGGTGGAAGGGGGGATCTAGGCCTAGCCTAGATTTTTAAAATTATTTTATTTTAAATACTGTAATATTTTGGATGATTTCAAAAAAAAATTGAAAAATTGTTAATTGATATATAAAATTGTAATTGATTTTTAAAAAATTCGACTTGGCTCACCTGAATCGGGTATGTAATACTTTTTTTTAATTTTATGGCCCTCTCAGGGAACTTTGCTATATTTATAGAAATATTTTTAATAATAAATGATGGAATACTATAGTAAGATGTGAAATGAAAATTCAAAAAGTTTTCTCGAGGATTGTATATTATTATAGTAAAATAAATATTAAGAGCCATTAAAGTAAGGCTACTTAGCTTAATTCAATTTCGGATTCATGACAGTATTATAATAATATTTTTAAAAATCAATCCTTATTTGAAGATTTATAAAATATATATATTGTTATTTGATGGAAACGATATATTTTAAATTATTAATGGAATTTAAAAAAAAATTTTATTGAATCTTTTTTATTTCCTTAAAATATTTGGTTGTTGTGTAAGGTTGTATAGTGACGAGTGAATCAGAAATTTCTCCTTCATTTGATGATAGATGAATTAATAATTTTCTTATATAGTTGTGAACCAAAAATTTAGTTTTCATTTAATGAGAGGTGGTTCCTATATTTTCCATTATTTAAAAGAAAAACGCTAATACATACCTTGAATATGGACTAATAATTGAGTAGGGCAATAATACGTTAACATGCTATGCAATCTAAAATAAGTTAAGCAAAACCTTCATCTACCAATATTTTATAAAGAAGTAACAAAAAATATAGATAAAAAGTCAACTTTCTGATTCATTCATCATCAAAGAAGATATATCTGATTCGCCCGTCATTCTTGTTGGGTTAGATATTAGTAAAATAATATTGATAAATAGCATGAGGGGATTTTATAAAATGTAGACAAGTGGATAGTGAAAATATTTTCGTGGAGGAGGGGGGGGGGTGTTACGAACTTGTTTCTTTTGCCCAGCCTTCAACTGAGTTTAGCTTATTATATAATTTCGAATTAAAGATTTTTGTTTAAAATATTTCTTCTGTTCCCTTCGTTATTTTTACCATATAAAAATTATGTCTCTCATCTTCGTGAAGTTGGCCGAATAATTTAAAGCCCTAATTCTCTATAATATTTAGTGCTTTATTAGTTCCTATGAATACTTCAATATGTTTAGTAGCTAGTGTAAATAAAAATAATCAATAAAACAAAATGTACCAGTTTTACGATTAAAATGGACTGAATCATGAATTATGAAAACCTTCATCAAAGTTTAGGGCTTAATATTGAATGCTTGGGCAGAGTATAAAGGGGGTTATTAACGAAAAAAAGGAAAATTACCATAATTGACATCAAGCCAGTTCTAAAATATATAAAGTATAAGCACCATATATCTATTTTGGGGTAGTATTTAGTGCCTGATTAGTATTAATTAGTTTTGTCAGCCACCAAAAGAAACTGAATTATATGCCAATTTAAAATACTTTAGATGTTATTACAGTCAACCAAAATTTTGGCACGCACTATATTTGAAACCTATATCAATTCATTAAGTAGTGCTTAATTAGTACATTTTAGGGGAAGTCTGTTTGTAAATAATTTAAAGAAGAAATAAACTTATTGAGTATCAAGGTTTGTTTAATTAGGCCACTGGTATATTGAATCGTTCACTCTTTTAGTTTATTATATGTTTATTCATATATTTATATTTTTTATTCATTTTTGATCAATATTATTTCAAGATTTTTGTTTTTATACATTTTTCCATCGATTTCTCGTAATCATAAAAATAAATAGTATTCTCAAACAGAATAAGAAGAAAAAAATATCATAATTTGGCATCAAACCAGAACGAAATTATAAAAGTATTGAATATCAGAGTTGTGCCAATATTTATTGCCTGATTAGTATAATCATTAATTCGTGACTCATTAATTTTGTCAATCATTTTCACCAATTATTAATAGTGGCGTACTGGCTTTTACAATCTCAGGGGGCTCAAAAATTATTTTCTTAAAATTACCTGAATTTTTTTAGCTAATAATTTCAAATTGACCTTTTTTTTATTACTAAACCAAAATGAGCAAAAAGAGGAAATCCAAATAAGAATTCCCCTCCTCTCCCCTCTTTTTTTAAGTATTCAAAGTAGTCTTATTTTTATTATGCAAATCTCCTATCCTTCTAAGATTATTTTAATCTCCTTCCATTATATAATTTAAGAAATATTCACTGTTATGCACTGTTATGCAAATAAAATGGATATTATACTATATATCTGCTGCGAGTGAATGTAGGGAATCAAACACAACCTGAACCAAACCTTTGAACCGGTATCAACCGTTATATTTAATGAGCCTAAACCGACCTGAACCATTGAAAAATTGTCACCCGAACCTGAAACTAACCTTTAAAAATGCCGGAGAACCGATTTGAACCTTTTGATATTTTGACTCTTTAAAAGATGATTAATAATCAACTTTGGCTGATAAATCAGTAATTATTTTTAGATATTTTTTTATATTGCTATTTGACAGTGCCAGCTATCCTAGCTAGTATATTAAGTCATAAAATTAATTCTTTCTCCTATAGAATGTTGGAAATATTTTAATTGTATACGGCTTAATATTATTTTTTTATGAATAACGATAAAATTTTAAAAGATATTCCTTTCTTTACATAATTTTAATACGCTAGTAGTTTAAAGAGATTTATAAAGGTTCAAATCGAACAGATATTATTATTTTTAAGATCAGAACCTAAAACTTGAATCGTTATTTTTATCTAAACCTAAACCTGAACCGAGCCGATATTCGAAAAATAATTGAGTTTTTTTTTATTATAATTTCATATTTATTATAACTTATAAATTATATCGTAATTTATTAGATGATTCAATTTGAATGCTACTAACGGAAAATTAGAATTATGATTATACTTAGACTATCAGAAGATGTTTTTTATATATTTAGTTATGTATATTATATAGGAGTATATTATACGCGAAATAATTTTAAAATTTTTTACTTTTACTTTTGTTTTTACATTTTTTTTAGCTTACTTTTAATTTTAACTTTTTTAGTTTTTTCGAAATATTTTTTTTTGTATAATTTTTTTTGTATAATTTTTCTTGTTTTAATATTTATAATTCTTTGTTTTAATAAGGTTACGATGAAGTAATTGAAAATATGATTTATTATTAAAGGTATTTAATTTTAGATATAGGGGACACAGGGGTAAAACGATTAGTATTTTTCATTTTTACCATAATATTTTGAAATATTAACAAACAGAACAAATTATATATTTATTTGTAGTCAAATCCACAAAAAAAAAGTATGACTCTCTACCTATAATACTTTAAAAGTTGTGATTAAATATGTAAGGTGTGTCATTTTTACTATTTTACCCCATTACAGGGTAAAGTGGCTATGCAGCAGGGTAAAGTAGTTAAATCAAATTGAACATAAATATATTGTTTAATTAAAAATAAACTAATCAGTACAATATCAGAATGGAAAAATTATATCAAAAATAGCACATTTTGAGTGTACCCATTTTAGGAAAATAGTATACATTACAATTATTCTTCCTTTTTGCGACTATCTTAAAATTTTATTCCAAATAACACAAAAACTACTGATTAATGTTCTTTTTTTTTAAAAAATATCTTATTATGGTATAGACGTTAATATTTAAATATTATCTTTTTACAGCTTAAATCAGATGGAACATTTTAACCGTTTTACATATAACAACCCCCAAGGTGATCTATATTGTACAAATCGTTATTGCGTGACTTCAAGTAGCTAAAAACTTTTGATAAATTTTATTTTATAGCTATGGCTAGGCAAATTTTTAAACTCTGAGCAATATATTTTGTTAAAAGCAAAAAATATTAGATGGTGATTTTTATAATTTTTGGGTAAAAAACATTTTCTTGGTAAAATATGTCAAACCAGAAAAGTTTTTCAAAAGATGAAAATAGGTGAGAAATTAGATATAAAAATACATCATCACACCAAATTTAAGGTCTTTATGCACAATGGTTAAGGAGTTATTCGCGTTAACATTGTTACCTCAATCGCTTTAACCCGGTCTCCCCTAATTATTTCTATCTTATGTTATTAATTTTATTCATTACAATATTCAACTTTCACCAACCTTATATTTTTAAGGTTGGTATCTTATATTAAAATAATAAGCAGGCCTATTGAAGTGTGACATGCATAGGGGAGATTAGGGCTACTAGGTGCAAGGGGCTTGTCAGTTAAGCATATTTTATTTTAAAACCAGAAATGTTTAGAAGTTCAAATTTAATTATATAATAGCATTATATAATAGCATTATATAATAGGTAAATATTTTATGCCCATCAACTATTTATATTTTTTTATGATAAAATGTGTCTTTTAGGTTAAAATTAAAACGTTTTTACACCACAATATTAGCTGGCATTAAGATAAAGATTTTAAAAATAATAAAATTCACTTTATATGAAATTTAAAACCCTCTTTTCGCATTTCAGAAAGTTTCATAATCATATATCATGTTTAAATATTTTAGATGGTATCCGTATATTAATAACTAGGGGCTGATAGAATCAGGGCTATTCGGATCAATCAAATTAGGCTTACAAATATGACATATTATAATATATTTATATAATAATATAAAATAAGTATTCATTGACCACTATTATATATTTAAATCAATTCTATATATGATAATGCAATAAAATTAGGAAAAAATATAAAAATTTATTAAAAATTTTACACATTTTTTATAATGTCGTATTTATATGAATTATTTTTATAATAAATGATATATTTATTTCAATCATTGTCCATTAATGGAATAACAATATAATAGGAGGCTTAATAAAATAATTGAAATTGCAAATCCCGAGTATAGGGATTGGCGTAAATATTTATTTTTACTGAGGAAAAAGTATATAATATATTTTAAAAATTAATCAATGCATAAGATTAGGTAGATGATTGGGCTATCTTATTGTATTTTGAAAATTAAAATACAACAATTAATTTCGGACCTATGATGATTTTGACAAAAATTACGCTGACTAACCCTGATCCCTATTTGTTAAACTGGAAAAAACGATTTTAAAGTTTAGATTCAAAAACTAAAAATAACTAAATAAAAAATTGGGGTAATTCATAATACTACTTCCTAATGTAAAAAATTTATATGAGCAATATATTTGATAAAATCAAAATGCAAGTTATTTATTTTTTTTCTAAAAATAGTCCATTTCAATTTAAGTGAATTTATTTATTAAATTCAAAATAAATCAAAGTAACTTAACCACAATATGCTTAAATTATTTACTATATCGAGGAACAGTAAACCTTATTACTAATTTAATCATAGAAATAATTTAACTGAATAAAAAATTCTAACGTATTCAAAAATTATTTCTAAGTCTAGTTTTAAATTTCTTGGTCATTATCTTAAAATCCACTTTTTACTCAAAAATATTGAAGATGTCGAGTGTCACCCAAATTTTGGACCGACGAATAATTGTTTCTAATTTATTTAGTGGTAATATTATGTCGTGTTTGGATATGGAAATTTTTGATTTAATATCGGGCGCATTTTTGACGAAATGGTATTCCAGAAAGTGTAGAATAAGGGAAAAGGGGGCTATTTCAGGCATTTTTGATTTAAAGGACAATAAAATTGTGAAAATAAGCCTTTTCGCATCATAAAACAATAATTTTATCACGCTAAATAATTTTTGGCTCAAGTATTTCCGAATGAAAATAACGAAAACCATTTTTGTCCGGATGTACCACATAGCGGGGTAATCTAGAATACAACCCGCGGTATTTTTTAACATATTTTTTGGCTTGATTTTAAAAATAATTCTAAAATCGACAAATTATATTAAACTTTATTAATAAAAGTGAAAGTTCCATATGCCCATCTTTTACAAACCCCAGAAATAGAAATGTAATTAACCTATGGTTTAAGTATTTAGGAAAGAGAAATTTAAATAGAAATTCTAAATATAATTCGTGACAATTTAATAGGTTTCGATTTAAAATCAGGATAAATGATTATGAGAAATTATATCTTATTAAAAAAGCTTCTTAACGCATTCTAAACAAAATTCATGATAAATTGTTATATTTTATTTTTATTTAAATATAACATTATCATATTTATTTAATAAGTTGGTATTTGGATTCATGAAAATATATATGAGATATTATATCTATTTAAATCCTTCTTACCCAGATTTTCGAAATATAATTCATGACAAAGTTAAGAAATATTTATTATAGGTATTGTACTTTTTATATATGAAATAAAACAGTGATATTAAGCATAATTAGAACTGTCATAAAAGCATTGTAATTTTTTTGATTAGAAAAAATAACTTTTTTAGGATAACAAAGATATAATTTTGCAGCTTCAACTACAAAAATTCTTTAAAACACTTTGTGTGGAAACCTATTAAAACATTTTTTGCCTGGAGATGGTATTATAAGTAAAGCAGGGAGCCCAACTTCATTGTGCTTTTTAGAATTAGATATATAATCCTGAATTGTTGATTTAGAAATAGACATAATGTCTGTTATGGTTCTAATAGATAGTTAGTTCTCGTGCATTTTGAAAATTTAATTATAATCTGTAATATTGCTAGTGATACTATTATTATTTTTCTTTATATAATCTCTCATTGTATTTTATTAAGATAAAAAAATAATACTGAAAACAATTGAATGATTTAAAAATTTAGTGTCCGCCATGCCCCAGAGGAAGAATCTTCATAAATAAGATCATTATCATATAAATCCTTGTTCAAAGTCCTTGAAATCTTATATATTATTAAGGACTCAAAGTTGATCATAGTATCAATTTTAATGTATAGATATAGAACTTGAATAAAATTTTAAACGAAAAAATCTTGTTCTTTTTTAACTTTTAATTATAAAAAAAAGTTTTTTTGTTTTAAAATTTTTTCAAATCGTTCAAACTGCATTTTTTTTACAAAATAATCATAATATATTATATAACTACTAGTTACAAATTTCAAGTCTCAAATTGAAATAGTTTTAAAATAAGAAGGCTTTCCGGAATTATCCCATGTTCAAAATTGTCCCGATCTCCCCTACCTTAGAAATCTGCAAAAGTAGGCCCGGCCCGTTCCCGGCGGGCCCAATATTTTAAAATAAAATTCGGGCTGGGTCGGGTCGGGCCTGAAGATTATTTTTAAATATATTTAAATTTATCAATTTTATATTGAATTTTTTATGTAAAATAAAAATATTTTATTTTATTTATAGAACTAGACGCCATATAACATATGTCTTTTATTTTGAGTAATTTTAAAAATTAATTTCTATATTTAAATAAGTTAGGGCCGGGCCGGTAAATTTTCTAAAAAAAATTCGAGTTCGGACCAGGCCGGTAAAACTTATTTTAAAAAAATTCGGGCCGGGCTTGAAAAATTAGACCCGTTGCAGATCACTACTACCTATCCTATACTCAGACAATATTGGCCGTAAACTTTTGTGTATTTTATAATTTAGATAAAAAATCTATAAAAACGGATATAAATTTGAATTATTTTAACAGTTGTAGGCATGTTTCCATCGAAATCAGATTTTTAGATTTAAAAATTCGCGAGTCCGAATCACAATATGGCATATATATTAGTTATGAGTAAAAATTAATTTTTGAAAAGAGGGAACGGGTTTTAGGAGAATAGGGGGTAAAAATAAGGCGTGAAAGCCGATGGTTAGAGTAAATCTCATAATTTAACTTTAGGTTAGAGGAAAATATGTGCTAAGAGAAAGTAAATTAAAAGAATTGCCATAATACTAGAGTTTAAACCGTGCACAAATCGATTACTGGGCTTCAAAAGTTCTCGACTATTTTTAAAAAAATCCTCAGTTACGATAACACAATGTGGAGTATATATATAGCGCATAGATGTAGCCAGGAGGAGATATAAAGTTTTTTATCCAATCCCCCATCCCTCTCTTTTAGAACATTGTTAAAAAATATGTCCGATTTTATCTTGATAATAAATACATATTTAGAAATTGCTATCCTAATTTTAATCCCACTTGTCACCGATACTCTTGGTGTTTTTGATGAGGAATTCCTTAAATTTATTAGGTTATTTGGGAGAAAATTAAGCCATAATGGCGATATAATGAACTTCGATTTAAAGCAAGCCATTACGATGGCTATTCATCAATAGTGTGTTAAACAGCTAGATTTGAGCCGATTTTTAAAAACGGCTAACTCAATATTTTATTCAGATATTACGCATGCCCAAAGATTTTGAACAAAGATTTGGATATCTATTAGCGAAATTTCAAGGCTTAGGCAATATTTTTCTGGCTAAAATATTGGGCTAGCCGTTTTTAAAATTCGGCCCAATCGAGCTGTTTAACAATACTAATTAAAGTAATTGCATTGTTATTTATGGTTCCATATAGCAATGCAAGTAAGCATGTCACACCTTTTATTACCTAATTTAATTGTTTTTTTTTAAATTTAAATGTATATATATGTTAGTGGCAATGTCTTTTTTACAGGCAATGTATTTTTTTCTCCAACTTTAAATCATTCTTTGAGGGTGTTTTTTTAAATTTAAATATCGGATTTTTACTGGAAATGTACTCCCATTAGTGATCTGCATCGGGCCTAATTTTCAAGCCTGCCCTGGCCCGATTTTATTTAAATATAGAAATTAATTTTTATAATTACTCAAAATAAACGATATATATTATTTGTTGTCTACTTTCTATAAATTAAATCACATATTTTTATTTTACTTAAAAAATTTAATATAAAATTGATAAATTTAGATATACTTTAAAAAATTTCTAAGGCCGGACCCGACTCGGCCCAAATTTCCTTAAAAATATTAGGGCCGGCTCGACTCGGAGCCCGTTCGGGCCGGGCACGAGCCGGTCCTACTTTTGCAGATCTCTAACTCCCATCATTTTTGAAATGTCTACCCTACCCTATGAATTTCAGATATTTTGCCATAAAACTGTTAAACTTAAAATAAGTTATATTAGTCTTTCCAATTATAATATCTTAAAGACTAATGGCAAAATTGTCTACAATTCATAAAATAGGTATTCTAAGCCTGTTGGAATATATTTCCAATATAATCAGGCTTTCAAATTTAAAAAACACATTCAAAAATGCTTTAAAGATAAAACACTTCCGGATAAAACATTTTGCCGTTAACATATATATGCGCTACATCTATAACTTTTTTTAAATTCATTTTTAATAAAAAAAATTATTTAAAAAAAGGTTAAAATTAATAACCTTTCAATCATTTATATAGGGAAAACCGACCTAATCCTCCCTCACTCATCCCCTCATATCCTGGCTACGCAAAACGATATACGAATAAATATTTTGATCTCATAAATTTATTAATTATGATTGAGCTTGAGTAAAATATCTATAAAAATTGTGAATAGAATCATTTCGATTTAAAAAAAATTAATTAGAAGAAACAATTAGTATATAAAATTTCAAGATTCCCCGAGAAATTTGATAATTCAGATAAATAAGTGATGGGTTTGAATATGTAAATTTATTATAAAAAATTAATTGATTTACTTTAGAAAGAGGAATAATAATAATTAACAGCATCCTCCATAAATCATTCATAAGAATTTATAATTTGTT